TATACTTCGGAGCACACAGTCTCCGGAGCTGCATGTGTACTGATACGGGACGTTTGACTCCTCCTTCGGCAGTAATGCTGCAGACTTGAGCATTGTGGCTCCGAGCTTAGACCCCCCTCCTCCAAGCATATCTCACATCTCACCCATTGATATCATCATAGTTCCCGCCATAACGTCTAGCCAAGCTGGCCTGCCTCACCTCAGCTCGAGAGCTGCACAATGAGCTGAGATTTACACATGTTTATATTTAATATTTACTCAGGTCTCTAGGAGGGAAATATCTTGTTTTGAATGTCACATGACTCACGCCACGACACCTCCTCTACACACTCTTGTATTTGCTTTTAAACACAGTGATTATCAGAGGTATTGTTCCCGCCAGCGTGCCTGTCACTCTCACTCCACTCTCACACCACTCTCACACCACTCTCACACCACTCTCACTCCACTGTCGACGTATATGTCTGATAGCAGGCTTGGTACTATGTCTGCTCGTTCAAGGGTTAGTGACGTCCTTGTTGATGTCTTCAAGAGTTAGTGATGTCCCTGCTGATGTCTTCAAGAGTTAGTGATGTCCTTGTTGATGTCTTCAAGGGTTAGTGACGTCCCTGGTGATGTCTTCAAGGGGACCATTTGAGTCACAGGAACACTCCCCGTCACCATCATAAACTGTGTAATAACAATGTTGTCTGAGTCGGGACCATTTCGTCACTTTCTCTCATCCTGGATAATGTTAGAAATGGATTTAATGTTAGTAAACCTAATATATATTTTACTTAAGAAATATATTATACCCTTCCTCGCTCTGCCGCCGAGACTGATAGATGGCGCCTGGCGCCTCAGTGTGTAGAAAACTCTCACTTCGATGAAAGTACTCTGGGACCAACCCGTTCTCGCACTTGCGTGTAGTCAATATTTGCTTATTAATAAGTGCATATGTGACATACTAATTTATTGTGAATATTTTAATTTACCTTGAAAAGCTTAATAGAAAACACCGACCTAACCTAACCTTCTTAATATGTTAAGATAAGCATCTTATTGCTTCTTAATTACAATTATTACTTAACCTATACCTATATTGATATTATAGTTTTATAAAAATAATAAAACAAAACCAAAATATTTAAATAAATTGTAAAGTAACTCAGGATATTATCAAATATTGTATAAAATCTCTATTGTTTAATAAAATTAAAAAAGAAATTAATAATATGAAAACTGGTGTTTAGCGAATCTATGGGAAGAGTTTGTACCTTAAAAACAAAATATAACTTGGCATATACCTTATATACACTTATTAATCAGCCAAATAGTGACTACAAGCAATAAGTCATATATGTACTGTCTGGTGCGAGAGCGGGTTGCAACGACATCTTGGGATTTGAAGGTAAGAGTTTCTTTAAGTAGAGTACGAATTACTTTTGCTATTCTTACCTGACGGCACATTCTCCATACACTTATCTAAGACATATATCACTAACACCTACAGAGAGACCAAGGTCGCCCCCTTACAGACAACACTGTTAACAGCAGAACTAGTAGTGAAGGCACCTGTACACGTGTGCACACTCCTGGTGGCGTGAGATAATGTGTGCAGGTGGATCCTGCACACATGTATATGTGAGATTGGTAAATATTTGCATGTTGGCAGCACTGACGGTGTTTGGTGAGGGAACACTACACACCTGAGGACAACACACACAGTCCGCACCTGTTAACACCTGTCAACACCATCGGAACACACCTGTACATCTGACAGCCCCGGGCTCTTGACCACACCTGTACATCTGACAGCCCCGGGCTCTTGACCACACCTGTACATCTGACAGCCCCAGGCTCTTGACCACACCTGCACATCTGGCAATCCTTCTTTCCCATACACACCTGTCTCTCCAGTGTATTTTCAATAGTTTCCACAAAACACATCTGTAATAGTCACATGTATCTCAAATAGTCTCTATAGTACCCATTATTGAGTGATAGTCGTTGTAATTGAGAGATCGTTACAGCAAGGTGGTCGTTACAGCAAGGTGGTCGTTACAGCAAGGTGGTCGTTACAGCAAGGCGGTCGTTACAGCCAGGCGGTCGTTACAGCAAGATGGACGTTACATCAAGGTGATCGTTACAGCAAGGTGGTCGTTATAGCCAGGTGGTCGTTACAGCAAGGTTGTCGTTACAGAAAGGTGTCGTTACAGCCAGGTTTTTCGTTACAGCCAGGTGGTCGCTACAGCAAAGTGGTCGTTACGGACAGGTAGTCATTACAGCAAGATGGTTGTTACAGCCAGGTGGTCGTTACAGCCAGGTGGTCGTTACAGCCAGGTGGTCGTTACAGCAAGGTGGTCGTTACAGCAAGGTGGTTGTTACAGCCAGATGGTCGTTACAGCAAGATGGTCGTTACAACCAGGTGGTCGTTGCAGCCAGGTGGTCATTAAATGCAGGTAGTCACAATAGACAAATTATTATTATAACCAGATGGTCAGTATAGCGGAGAGTGAACAGGTGTCTGGAACTGGTGTAGTGGAGAGCGAACAGGTGTCTGGAACTGGTGTAGTGGAGAGTGAACAGGTGTCTGGAACTGGTGTAGCGGAGAGTGAACAGGTGTCTGGAACTGGTGTAGTGGAGAGTGAACAGGTGTCTGGAACTGGTGTAGTGGAGAGTGAACAGGTGTCTGGAACTGGTGTAGTGGAGAGTGAACAGGTGTCTGGAACTGGTGTAGCGGAGAGTGAACAGGTGTCTGGAACTGGTGTAGTGGAGAGCGAACAGGTGTCTGGAACTGGTGTAGTGGAGAGTGAACAGGTGTCTGGAACTGGTGTAGTGGAGAGTGAACAGGTGTCTGGAACTGGTGTAGCGGAGAGTGAACAGGTGTCTGGAACTGGTGTAGTGGAGAGTGAACAGGTGTCTGGAACTGGTATATGACAGATGTACATTACTGGTGTGTGACACATGTACACAACAAGTGGGATGAATGAGTATAGAACGAATGCTTGTAGCAGGTGTGTGAGGCAGTTGTAGAGTACAGGTGTGTGAAACAGGTGTAGGACAGGTGACAAAATAATGACTGAAGTTGTAAGAGGGAATCCCAGGTGAAAGGTGAAGCCAGGCCCCTCCCTACACCCCGTGTTCTACACCCCGTGTTCTACACCACATGTTCTACACCAATGTTCTACACCCCGTGTTCTACACCCCGTGTTCTACACCACATGTTCTACACCCATATTCTCCACCTCGTGTTTTACACCCCGTGTTCTACACCCCGTGTTCTACACCCCGTGTTTTACACCCCGTGTTCTACACCCATGTTCTCCACCCCGTGTTCTACACCCCGTGTTTTACACCCCGTGTTCTGCACCCCGTGTTCTCCACCCCGCGTTCTACACCCCATGTTCTACACCCCGTGTTCTACACCCATGTTCTACACCCCGTGTTCTACACCCCGTGTTCTATACCACATGTTCTGCACCCATGTTCTACACCCCGTGTTCTACACCCCGTGTTCTACACCACATGTTCTACACCCATATTCTCCACCTCGTGTTTTACACCCCGTGTTCTACACCCCGTGTTCTACACCCCGTGTTTTACACCCCGTGTTCTACACCCATGTTCTCCACCCCGTGTTTTACACCCCGTGTTTTACACCCCGTGTTCTGCACCCTGTGTTCTCCACCCCGTGTTCTACACCCCGTGTTCTACACCCCGTGTTCTACACCCCGTGTTCTACACCCCGTGTTCTACACCCCGTGTTCTACACCCCGTGTTTTACACCCCGTGTTCTACACCCCGTGTTCTACACCCCGTGTTCTACACCCCGTGTTCTACACCCCGTGTTCTACACCCCGTGTTCTACACCCCGTGTTTTACACCCCGTGTTCTACACCCATGTTCTCCACCCCGTGTTCTACACCCCGTGTTTTACACCCCGTGTTCTGCACCCCGTGTTCTACACCCCCGACCATACACTACGTATCCTACACACACAGGTGTCGAGGGATTTTTATTAGTATTATTATTTTCTACCACAGACGTGGCCAGACATTTACAATGCTAGCCAGCATATATACATTTTCTTCTGTCCTCCATGGACAGGGTTAGAGATGTGTTAAACATATAGTTCAAGGGTTTATTGAACAATCAACCACAGAAGGTGATTGTAGTGCTTTTAAAATGCTAAGCTAACTTACATACGTAAATACATAGATACACAGATTTACGTATGCCCTACATAAAGTGTTAGATGTGTCTTTTACATAGTGACAGTAATGTGCATTTACAAAGGTGAAATGTAATTCTGATCAGCTTCCATATATACTTTATACCCATACATACACACATACACATATACGTACATATGTATACACATACATACACTTATATTTGTCTCTTTTACTCTGACAGGGTGAGATAGCTGATAGAGAAACTAGTGTGCAATTAAGCACTTAATCACTGAAGGTGATTAAGGTGCTTTTACAAGCACAGGTTATATAGTTACATCACATACATTGTATAATTGATACATTACATGGTCAATCTTGGATACAAGTCCAATATATCATCAAGTGTTCCAGTACTCATATAGTAATTACAGAGTTCAGCATACCTTAGCCCAGGAGGGCGAAAGTCAGTCAATATGGGACATTCTACAATATAATGTTCAAGAGAGTGCATGTTTTCTCTTTCACAAAGTTGACACATTGTGTACTCGACATTTGGGTTTTGAGAAAGCTGCCAGATACGTCTATATCCCAGGCGTATTCTGGCCACTATAACATCACATTGCCGGGTTCTTGTTCTATTAGTCCCATATGTGAATGTCTCCTCACGATATCTAATCATAATATTTAATGCTACAACTTTCAGGTCTTTGTGAATTTGTTAGGTCGGTGAGATCTTCATTAGATATTTGTTTAAGTATTCTCTTTGTCACTGCTAATGAAACACCCATATCAATTTCTACCACTGGTTTTCTGCAGGCTGACTTAGCAAGCATATCAACAGTGTCATGCCTGACTGGTGTCAGATGTGGCGTCAAGTGTGGTGGCAGGTGTGGTGGCAAGTATAGCGTCAGATGTGGAAGCAGGTGTGGTGGCGTCAAGTGTGGTGACAGGTGTGGTGACAGGTGTGGCGGCAGGTGTAGCATCAGGTGTGGTGGCAGGTGAGGTGGCAGGTGCGGTAGCAGGTGTGGTGTCAGGTGTGGGGGCAGGTGTGGTGTCAGGTGTGGTGGCAGTTGTGGCGGCAGGTGTAGCATCAGGTATCGTGGTAGGTTTGGCGGCAGGTGTCGTGGTAGGCGTGGCGGCATGTGAGGTGGCAGCTGTGTTGGCAGGTGTGGTGGCCGGTGAGGTGGCAGGTGTGGCGGCAGGTGTGGCGGCCCCTAGAGGCATAGACAGTCTTCTGTGATGTCATGGAGAGGTCGCGGCCGGGACCCTCGTGTCTGACCTTATTGGGGCAGGGGGAGAGGCAGGGGGAGAGGCAGGGGAAGAGGCAGGGGGAGAGGCAGGGGGAGGGGCAGGGGGAGAGGCAGGGGGAGAGGCAGGGGGGAGAGGCAGGGGGAGAGGCAGGGGGGAGGGGCAGGGGGAGAGGCAGGGGGAGAGGCAGGGGGAGAGGTAGGGGGAGAGGCAGGAGGGAGAGGCAGGGGGTGAGGCAGGGGGAGAGGCAGGGGGGAGAGGCATGGGGATGGGGCAGGGGGGAGAGGCAGGGGGGAGAGACAGGGGGAGAGACAGGGAGAGAGGCAGGGGGAGAGGCAGGGGGAGGGGCAGGAGGAGGGGCAGGGGGAGAGGCAGGGGGAGGGGCAGGGGGAGAGGCAGGGGGAGAGGCAGGGGGAGAGACAGGGGAGAGGCAGGGGAGAGACAGGGGAGAGACAGGGAGAGAAGCAGGGGGAGAGGCAGGGGGAGAGGCAGGGGGAGAGGCAGGAGGGAGAGGCAGGGGGGAGAGGCAGGGGGGAGAGGCAGGGGGAGAGGAAGGGGGGAGAGGCAGGGGGAGAGGCAGGGGAGAGGCAGGGGAGAGGCAGGGGAGAGGCAGGGGAGAGGCAAGGGAGAGGCAAGGGAGAGGCAGAGGAGAGGCAGGGGGAGAGACAGGGGAGAGGCAGGGGGAGAGGCAGGGGGAGAGGCAGGGGGGAGAGGCAGAGAGAGAGGCAGGGAGAGAGGCAGGGGGGAGAGGCAGGGGGAGAGGCAGGGGGAGAGGCAGGGAGAGAGGCAGGGGGAGAGGCAGGGGGTGAGGCAGGGGGTGAGGCAGGGGGTGAGGCAGGGGGTGAGGCAGGGAGAGAGGCAGGGGGAGAGGCAGGGGGAGAGGCAGGGTGGAGAGGCAGGGGGGAGAGGCAGGGAGAGAGGCAGGGGGGAGAGGCAGGGGGGGGGCGAGGCAGTGGAGAGGCAGAGGGGAGAGGCAGAGGGTGAGGCAGGGGGTGAGGCAGGGGGTGAGGCAGGGGGAGAGGCAGGGAGTGAGACAGGGGGAGAGGCAGGGGGGGAGAGGCAGGGTGGAGAGGCAGGGGGAGAGGCAGGGAGGGAGGCAGGGTGGAGAGGCAGGGGGAGAGGCAGGGAGGGAGGCAGGGTGGAGAGGCAGATGGAGAGGCAGGGAGAGAGGCAGGGGGGAGAGGCAGGGGGGGCGAGGCAGGGGAGAGGCAGGGGGGAGAGGCAGAGGGTGAGGCAGGGGGTGAGGCAGGGGGTGAGGCAGGGGGAGAGGCAGGGGGTGAGACAGGGGGAGAGGCAGGGGGAGAGGCAGGGGGTGGGGCAGGGGGAGAGCCAGGGGGAGAGGCAGGGGGGGAGAGGCAGGGGGGAGAGGCAGGGGGAGAGGCAGGGTGGAGAGGCATGGGGGAGAGGCAGGGAGAGAGGCAGGGTGGAGAGGCAGGGGGGAGAGGCAGGGGGGAGAGGCAGGGGGAGAGGCAGGGGGGAGGGGCAGGGGGAGAGGCAGGGGGAGAGGCAGGAGAGAGAGAGAGAGAGAGAGAGAGAGAGAGAGAGAGAGAGAGAGAGAGAGAGAGAGAGAGAGAGAGAGAGAGAGAGAGAGAGAGAGAGAGAGAGAGAGAGAGAGAGAGAGAGAGAGAGAGAGAGAGAGAGAGAGAGATACAGAGACACAGACAGGCAGAGGCAGTGGAAAGTGAAAGAGAAATACCTTAATTGGGGAGAGAGGGAGAGTGTGGGAGAGAGGGAGAGTGTGGGAGAGAGGGAGAGTGTGGGAGAGAGGGAGAGACACTCACAGATTCTCAACACGTCTGCGTTGCCATAGAGACAGCTCCAGACACTTATGTATCCTCATCAGTCTCTCGGTTGCCATGGCAACAACTCCAGACACACACAGATCCACCACAGAGTCTGGGTTGCCATGGCAACAACTCCAGACACACACAGATCCACCACAGAGTCTGGGTTGCCATAGCAACAACTCCAGACACACACAGATCCACACCAGAGTCTATGTTGCCATGGCAACAACTCCAGACACACACAGATCCACCACAGAGTCTGGGTTGCCATAGCAACAACTCCAGACACACACAGATCCACCACAGAG